TTGGAGATGGCTATGAGGTCAAACAAAGAAGAAGGAAACAAGCCATACCGACGAGGAGTGGCGACAGCTCAATACAACAAAGACACAAAGAATAAGATGGTTTTCTGCAGCAATTGTGGAAAACGTGGACACGTTAGACGAGATTGCTGGGCTAAAGGAGGTGGAGCAGAAGGTCAAGGTCCATCATTTAAACAGGTCAGTACCAAAGACCATAATGAAAATTCTCAAGAGAAGACGTTGACTGAAGCACAAGTCCGTCAGCTCATTGAGGGAATTATGCGTCCGCAATAGGAATTAGCGGCCCCCTGTATTAGTAAGAAAAAAGACAATCGCCTTTTCGTTAATGCATTAATAGGGGGCCACCCATGTGATGTTTTGGTTGACACAGGCGCCTCAATTTCAATAACAGATTTGAACCTACCTACAACAGATGAAACTATGGAAGTTGAAGGTGTTGGAGGTGGTATCACAAAATTTCGCAAAAGTATTCAAGTTCCACTGCAAATACATGAAGATGAAGTCTTATGGACATCTTTTTGGGTGGGACCGAATTCACAAGGAAGCCTAATTGGCATGGACATTCTTCCATTGTTAAACATGATCATATTCACTGACAGTCGTCATATCGCCACAACTGCTGGGATAATACCACACGAAGATCGCACATGTAATCTAAGGTCTGTTGGTGCAGCAAAACCAATTATCAGGAACTGGACAAAAGATGGTGTGTGGGGTCTTCTATGCAGTTTGTATCCAGATGTTTGGGCTAAACACAAACTGGATTGTGGTAAAGCCAACATTGACCCCATTGTTATTGAGGGACCGACACATGCCCCTCATAAACAATACCCTATCAGACCTGAAGCAAGACAAGCCGTAGAGGAGATAGTGGCTGACTTGGAAGCTGAAGGTATCATCAGACAAACGTCATCTACCACTAATAGTCCTGTCTGGCCTGTCAAGAAATCAGATAACTCATGGCGATTAACCATTGATTATACAAGACTTAACAGTGTAACACCAAAACCGCATCCTATTGTAGCCAATCCTGCCACTATTCTGAATGATATTCCAGGAAATGCTAAAATTTTTACGGTACTGGATGTACTGTCGGCTTTCTGGTCTATACCTATAGACAAAAGATCTCAAGAGAAATTAGCCTTTACAGTAGGCGCAAAACAATATGTTTGGAACAGACTCCCACAAGGTCTTAATATTTCTCCTGTTGTATTTCATAGAGCTTTGAACCAGTTCTTAACGGAGCAAAAAGCTGAAATTGAGAAATCAGGAAGTGTCTGCCTCCAATATGTTGATGACTTGTTGATTGCAAGCCCAGATGAAAGAAGCCATATATTTGCTCTGAATGTTGTCCTACAAGCCCTTAGGAAAGGGGGATTTAAAGTTAACCCCGACAAAGCACAGCTGGCCAAATCCAAAGTTATCTATTTGGGCCAAGAAATATCTATGGAGGGAAGGAGAATGACAACAGAGCGTGTAGAAGCATTACGACAACTTCCAAAACCTCTAACAGTTACAGGAATGCGGAAGGTGATGGGACTTTTCAACTATTGTCGTCAGTATATACCCGATTTTGCTAGCATCACCAGCCCTCTCATTGACCTGTACAAGGGAGGAAAGCCGGGAGTGGAACAGATTAACTGGACACCAGAAGCTGAGGAAGCGTTTACTTCTATGAAAGAAAAACAGACTTCAGCTCCAGCTTTGGGACTTCCCGATGGACGATTGCCGTTTCATTTGTGGACCAGTGTAGGAGATGAGACGTATTCAGCAGTACTGTGTCAAAAACCAGGTGATCGATACAGACCAGTTGGATACTTTTCCACAAAGATTCCTGTCACTATGATTGGGCAACCACGATGTATACAAGCTCTCGATGGTGCCACATGGGCAGTGGATGCTGTTGAGAATCTGATAGGAGCACAAACTATCATATTGCATACTCCACACAATATAGTGACGTTGCTGAACAACACAAACATCAAGACCATTACTGATGCAAGGAGAGCAAAATGGGAAGCTACTTTGTTGAACAAGAATTTGAGAGTGGAAATCATCAGAGACACGTCTCTTAACCCTGCAACAATGATGCTGGAACCACATGAGGGAACACCACATGAGTGTGTAAAACAAGTACAAGAAGATAGCCTTGGTCCTGTTAATCCAATCCCTCTTGAAAATCCAGACAAGGAGTTATGGGTTGATGGATCCAGTTACTATGTTGATGGAAAACGACACACTGGATGGGCTGTAGTGCAAGCTGATGGAACTGTTGTGAAGAAAGGAGCTCTTCCTGGCAAACTTTCAGCACAAGTAGCCGAGCTCATAGCACTTACAGAAACTCTTGAATTATCTGAAGGAGAACGAGTCAACATCTATACAGATAGTCGATATGCTTTTGGTGTGGTCCATGACTACCTTGCCCTGTGGAAGAGACGTGGACTCATCAACAGCAATGGGAGCGAAATACAACATGCTTCCATAATTCGTCGCTTAATTACAGCATGTCACTTACCTAGAGAAGCAGCCGTGATCAAAGTGAAATCTCATCAATCTGACAAGTCCAAAGAAACTCAAGGAAACACGGCAGCAGATGCAGCAGCTAGAGAAGCAGCTCTACTCCATCCTACTCCTGTTACCCTGGTAAAGGAAAATACCAAGGATAATCCTGAGCTCCATCTTCTGTCATATCAATTGGAGACAGATGAAGAGAAAGAACAATGGATAAAAGCGGGAGCGAAAGAGGATGATCAAGGAATCTGGAGAATTCCAAAAGGACAAGTAGTGATGCCTATCGGAACAAGAAGAGAACTAATGCAGCTGTATCATGGAAAAGTGCATGCTGGAGCAAAAGCAATGAAAGCTCAAATCAGTGAAACTTGGTGGTGGCCAAGAATGATGAGAGACATTGATGATTATTGTAGAAGATGTTTGATATGCCTCAAAGCAAATGTGGGAAAATCTGTAAAGGTGCGAATGTCACATGCACCTAGACCAACAGGTCCGTGGACACATCTCCATATTGATTTCACAGGACCTTTATCACCTAGTGGAGGGTATCAATATATACTTGTAATCATGGACAATAATAAGAAAGCGCGAGAAGCTCAACAGCAATGGGATGAAAAACACACCACTACTGACATTCCACACATTCCCGAGATAGGCAGTTTTGTTATGATCAAACGAATTGCTAGGAAGGGTTTAGAGCCTAGATGGGAAGGACCTTATGAGATACTCTTAACATACAAGTGTTTGTCTCAAAGGGAAGGGTGTAGGAACAGATAGATGGTATCATTGGTCACAAGTTAAACCTTGCTTAGTGAATAAACAAACTGTTGAGACTGAGCAATGTTCATCGATTAGTTTTAAAGATTGGGAACAAATAAGTGATGCTAACTATTTTTCTGCTTCCATTTCAGGAATCAATTCCATTGACATTTATTAAAGATGGTTGCAAGTTATTATGTATTCCTTACAAAACATTACCTCACAAACAATGAACACCCGCTTACTGATTCTCAACCCCAAGGGATAGGACCCTTTAACATCAACGTTTATTTTAATTTCTTATTTTGGCTCGGAACTGGGGGATTTAATTAGTTACGAGTTAATTAATTAATGAGTCCAGGCACGAGCAGAAGAATTATTAGTTTTTTATTTTCTTAGATGATTGGGGTTCATTTTAAATACATACACATAGATATTAAAACACACATAGTATACGGGGACATAACACGGGTTGGGGTTTTGTTCTTTTTGTTCTTTTTGTTCTTTTTGTTCTTTTTGTTCTTTTTGTTCTTTGTTTTGTTTTTCCTTTTCTGTTTCTATTCTTCTGTTCGTTCTGTCTATTTTCTTGGTCTGCTATTTCTTCTCCTCACTATCACTTCTATAGGTTGGCCACCTGGGGATGATGGTGTGGAACTTATGGCGCCATAGTTCCAGTGGAGGGAGATGAAGACTAAAATTTCATCTTTTAATATTATTTCATTATTAAATATTATGTATCTGTATTATTATTCTTTATTAGTTTTCATGATCACTGTATTATCCTTTTGGAGTTTCAAAAAGCATGAGTTAAAAGCATGAGATGAACATATGTCAGGGGAAAGCTATATATTGCTCAGAGAGGTATGTGTGCCATGTAACATGTTCACTCAGCATAAATGTTTCCACTGATGCAAGTGTACCACAGATGTACACAACAAGGAAAGTAGCGCACGTATGACATTTACGTTCTAAGTTGAGAAGCTCAGAGCAACATGTTTGTTACCTTACAAGGAAGCTGTAAGACTGTGTGATGTATAAAAACTAAATGTCACATTGTACCACCCTTAGAGAAACATGTAGGCATGACCGGGTGAGAGGGTAGAGGAACATGGAGAAACGCATAGACCAGGCATGAACACAACATCTTGAAGTTTCTCTCCTGACATATATATAATATATAATAAAACTTTCTTGGCAAGATAACTGGTGTCCGGTCCCGTAAATTGAATAATAACGGGGAAACACAAGAGGCTTTAATTCCAAGTCTACACCATCAATAATTAGATCAAATTGAAATAAAGGAATATGTCCAGCCCATAGTCTGAAAATATCATCGTAAAATGAGTCTAAATAAACAGTATTAAATATTGACAATAATGCAGGAGGAAGTTCCTTTACGCTAATAGTCGGAGCATGATGTGACGACATGCGGAGTGTGATTGCCTATTGCAACAATAGAAACCGGGAAGTCCAAACTGAGCCGTTTTGGCAGCTATATAAAGCAGCTATTTTATATAAAAGGAACTATTTTATGTAAAAAGGATTCAATAAAAGCTTGTTTTAAGATCAACAAGTAAGTTTTGAGTTCTAAAAGTAGAATGTTTTAGAACAATGAACTCTTCTTTCAAAAGATTAAGGGAAAAGGGAAAATTAACCCCCTTGAAAGAAAAGACAAAGACAGAATTAAACAACGGTAATGGCTTTTCATTGTTGGATGTCATGCTGAAAAAAACCCCAAAAAACAACAGCAACCAACCTTGTAGGCATTGATCAGCCAATCAGGCACTGGCACTCCATGTGACAGCAGCTTGTTGATGACAGAACGGTGATATTGAGCATTCTGTGAGGGATACTTCTCCAAATAATGAGCTAAAAGCCGCCAAGCTTCATCTGTTGCGCTGTGTGGAGAGAAATTCAGTTCAAGAAGACATGTAGCGGAGTTCATCATAATGATCAAGATCAGAGTATTTTAACAAACCTGGACTCTTTAGTAGTAATAATAGTTGGCAGCTGATTGGCAGCAAGCCAGTTCCACACCTCTGTCTGGTCCTGATCACCTTTATATTGCAGTTTGATACACCTACACAGAGAAAAAAAATCTGCACTTCGGAAATCGGAAACTGATTTAAAATGGCCAGACACTGGATAGATCATAACATACTTGAATGTCAGTCCCTCAAAGACGGGTGTAAGGGATAAGTTAAAGGTCTGACACAGCGTCAGGGATGTGTCAAAAAGACCTGTTTGGACAAGCAGGGCAACCATCTCTTGTGAAGACGCACCTCCTGTAAGAGAGATAACACCAGTATTAAATAAACCTTTCAAAATACCCTAGTTGACACTATTGGGAAAAATGTTCAGTTTCCATAAGCTGTAGTGAAACAACCTGATGGCCAGGGTCCGAAATTAACACCCGCCAAGTGGCAATTGCAGGGAGATTTTCCATTTGACGAGTAAAACTCAAAAGCCATTCCCCCCTACTGGTGGGTGAATGTTCATACCAAAACAGTAATGTAATAAAATGTTTATTACAATTGCATTGTGTAAATGTTAAATAATATAGCTGGCATGATGGCTATGGGCATGAAGGAGTTGTTGTGTTTGCGGCATGGATATTTGAAAGTGACAGGGCACAACAAAAGAACGAGCAGAGAGAGCCTCGGTCGTACGCGCACTCTTCTCTTCGGAGCCAGGCGAAAGTATAAACAAGGCTTCACCGTCTCTGAAGCACCGAATAATCCAAATAAATCGACACGATGGTAAAAGGTCGGACCATAGTTTCACGTGGAGCATTCGGATATATTTTTTTCGTTAATTACCGCTGGGTGTGAATTGTGCTAAAATACTGAAAATACCTTTTTTTCTCTGAAAAGCGTTCCGCACATTCAGCTGACATAAGTTAAACCACACTTTAAATAAACGTAAAAACCTATCCAGTTATGAAATGATTTCTGTGTTGACACATATCTTGTGGGGTGTCCTAGCTGCCTGCCGGAATAATCACACGACGCGTATACACATCCGATAATGACACGTCCAGTTCGCGAACTAATGACTCCTTTGAACCGATTCATTTTAATGAATGGTTAAACAACTGATATTTCCAGTCCTTCAGTTACTGATCGGATCAGTCAGAGTAAATGGAGTAAAAAAATAGAGTAAAAAAATAGAGTAAAACTAAATATTTTTTAAAAATATTTATAATATATTATTATAGCATATATTTTATTAAATGTACAACTAATACATTTCATTTTACAGAACTATTTTCATAGGCACCACACTTATAAATTAATGTATATGTGACGCAAAAAGGCTGTATTATTTTTCCCGGTAAAAAATATGCTTAGCTGGTGTATTTTTTCATTTACCAGTCCCCATGGCAGGTGCGCCGAAAAGTTAATTTCAGACCCTGCTCGATGGCACATAAAAATGTAAAAATTCATAAATGAGGGCATGTTCATAACGAATCTTCATTTAAACAGCATTTAGCAGTATTGTCTGCTTTGGAGTAAGTAACCTTTTTTTTTTAAACTGAGTTTAAGAAAATCTTTCTCCACTTCAATTGTCTCAGGCCACATTTCCACTTATTCATAATGACAAAATAATAATAAAAATAATAATCTTACTTTAAAACAAAATTACAATAATATTTATGGCCGCCTAATTTCTTTGCTTTCACCAAACTCAGCGGAGAGAGATGGAATGTTTGTGAGCAGCAGCCACTGATCTATATAATGACTGGATAGCTCATGACGTTCGAAACTGAAGCCACCGGAAGTGTTCGAGCAGCCATCTTACGATTCCCTACCAGCAGAGGGCCCAACGGCCGTTATACAGAGATAGTAGCTCCGACGGCACTTTTAAGATGACCCGCTGTGCATAAACAAGTGTAAAACGAAGTTCACAAAAGGATCTACAAAAAACTGCCCACAGGTTGTAATTTAAGCCCATATATAGTAATTTATATGCACAATTGTCACTATTTCCGTGTTGTTTAAAAAATGTTTATAGCCTACTATGCATTCTTTCACAGACCATTTCAAGTTTAAACCCAACAAACGTATTATTCAATGCATTACTTATTATTAATTTAATTAAATGTATTTATTTAATATATGTTTTTGAAATGACAATCTAAATGTATTAATATGTTGAAAAAGACTTCAATGGGATGCACTTTGACAACAATAAAACAAACAGCACACAAAGATCATGTGTCTATTCCATCTTCATCTTACACGCTAGATAAGTGTGCTTACCTGCGATAGCTGCTGAGGGGGGGTCCTGTTGTGCTAACGTTAGACGACTCCGGGCAAGAACATACTCTTTCTCCAAGTCTTTCAGCTCAAGAATGTCAATCTGTTGATTTACTGTGATCACATGACAAACAACTATAAAACCTGCAGCTTTTAAAAAATAAGATAGAACACTAGATTTTGCTAATAGTCATAAATTATTTTTTTAATTAACTGATTATTATTAGATGAATATACCTACTTTTAACATTTCTCTTTAAATTTAGATCTCTCAAACCTCATTTCATAATGTGATAAATTGAAAGACTTTTGGAATGATTCATTAAGAGAAATCATACAATAAAGACACGCTAGTTTTGAATGACCAATATAATCATATTTAGGTTTTGAATGGGGGAAACAAGAGCATAGTCCACATAATGTTAGAGGGTGTTTTTGGGAATTACCTGGACTTGCAGCAAATTCACCATCATAGTTCCTTTTTGGTGATGCGCCTGGTCGTTCATACTAGTCAAGGCATAAAATATTAAAATACATTATGATATAATACATTTTACAATTTTATATTATAGATGTATACACATACAGTACTGTGGAAGAGTGTCTAAAAAAGTCTATATGATTCACAAAACAACTTTTTTTTTTATTTTTAAGGTGGTTATTTCTATCTTTTATTTTCCTGTGCCAGTAGAATTTGTCAATTTAGATTTCCAGACATTCCTTTTGTAAATGGATGAACCCTATAACAGATGTCTGACCACACAAAAACTTGACCGCACTAAATTAATCTAGGATTAACTAGAAAAAAAAAGTAGTAATTGAGTTTAAAACCGAGGAACAGTACCAACTCTCCTAAATGCCTGGAACATTTTAAAAACTGGACAAATGTATCCAGGAAAATTGGTGTTGTTTTAAAGGCACAGTTTTTTTCATTTGATTTAGGTAACTGTTATTTGCTAAAAAGTAGGGCTGTCAAACGATTAATCGCGATTAATCGCATCCAAAATAAAAGTTTGTGTTTACATAATATATGTGGGTGCACTGTCTATAATTATTTTATATATATATAAATACACACACATGCTTTTATATATTTAAGAAATATTTTCATGCATATACTGTATATAGATTTATATATAATTTATATTATATATAAATATAAATATTTGTTTCTTAAATATAGATACATGTGTGTGTATTTATATATATACACAAAATAATTATACACAGTGCACCCACATATATTATGTAAACACAAACCTTTATTTTGGATGTGACTTATCGCGATTAATCGTTTAACAGCCCTACTAAAAAGTATTGATGTTATTCTTAAAAAAAAAAAAAAAAAAACAAACAAACAAAAAAAAACCCCAAACAAACTATTTTCATTTAAAAACAAAGAAAATATATATAATCACTGCGCTCAACCAATTTTTTGGCTGCACTCGCTTGTGTTAAATTAAATTATTTAAAAAAAATATTATTCAACAAAGCACATCTGGGATCATTCAATTCAAACTTGTTTGAGTTGAATGATCCAGATAAATGATTTAAAAAATATAGATTTTTTAATAATTTAAAAAGGAAGACAAGTGAGTGCTGATTTTTTTTACTGAAGTATTTATTTTACTCCACCCAAAGAATTGAAAAGGTTTTAGATGCCTACCGCTGCTCCAGAAGAGGGCTGCACAATCCAAGCATAGTCCGGATGAACAAGACGCAGGCAGTTGAGGGCAGCGAGGTAACAGTTGACCTGTTTCTGGAGACCACGGAGAGTTCGCACCTCACGGCCCAGACGCATGCCGTACTCAAACATCACTGTACCGGCTTAAACACACATTTTATTGTTAGATTAAAGACCAACTTCAGGCCGAATCCTTGAAATATCCCTGGACCATCAGTTTTACCTTTTCTATAGTTGTGACGATTGATATGGAAAGCATATAGAAGCTCATAATAGTTGTGAGTCATGAGGTCCACAGCTCTTGCGCGAGACTCAATAATGCTGACCACCTGAAGAACACAGAGCACAAAAAATACATTGGCTTGCTAAAAATGCAAGAAATAAAGAAGAGTGTTGTTTCTGCGATACTAGTGGCATCCAGCAGATGAACAAAAATACATTATATTTTGCAAACTTCCCTCTGGCTCCACCTGATAGAAACTCAAGATTTAGGTTTAGCTGGAAAGATTTATTGATACGAGCAGACTACCAATGTTAGATGGTGCCAGAGGGTCTCAATGTTTACACTTTTAGGAAGATGACAAACACAAATGACATACTTATAGTAGTCAATGAATGATAAACTGAGTTAAGAGAACTTTAAAGACAAAGGGTATAATAATAAGAAAGGCCAGTGAGGGTGTTTGTGGACAGTTGAACTGACCATATTAGGTGAAAATTTATCTGCTTTTATCAAACTCAAACGAAAATCTCATTCTATTCAATGTAAAAGTTGATGTGAATTATCTGGATTTAAATGTGTGAATTTAAAAGGTAAGGTTATTTGGCTGGCTATACATTTAGTGAGGATTGTTTGAAGGTCACTTAAATTAAAAGTATATGTTTTTTGAAGCCTAATATAGTTTATAAATTGAAAGCTTTCAATAAAGTAATGTTGAATGGCTATAATTAATATTAAAAATGTCAGCGATGGGGGCTGTATTTCAACCCGAATGATCCTTTCAGCTATGCTTCCATCGCAGTAGCGCAGAAAGAAACAAATGTGATTTTTAACTGAAGTCATTTGTATGTGTAAATTTGATCATTGGAGGCCAGCTGAATATACTTTGGTGAATTAAGTAAGATTAAATCTATGAAGTACGTCTGTATCATTTAACCATTGCAGGTTTGACTAAAATTTGCCGTTTTCCTTGCCTGTGCAATTTTTTCTTTTCTTTTGAGAAATGCTGAATCTATTTTTGTGGGAGTAAGACACGAGCATTTTGGCAGAAATCATTATTTCAATTTACACAACTGTCTGGTGTCTAAATATAAGCAGCACATACAGCTTCACATAGAATCATACCATCAGTCCAATCAAAACAAACCCAGCTTTAGTACAATTAATGCCAACGACCCAAAATATAACTGCATTTTTAGCAAGGATTCACTTGAACACATTTAGCTAGCTTGAGACAGATGGATCACTCATATCAGAAAGAATGTGTAGGTTATGATGACGGCGATGGACAATGGGAGGTTATAAGAATTTGTTTGTACCTTCTAGATAACTGAATATAATCAGGTGAAAGCTCATTTTAAACAGGTAGCATTTATTTACAAATGCAATCGCTCTTCACGAATGCATTCAAACAAATGTGATGCGATCTGGGAAAACCCATCAACTGGTGAAATTTCACCTATTACAGTTTATATCAGTCCCTCCAGAAAAACGCGATTATGTGATCGCTGAATTCAATGCAAAATCAGCCAAAGTCCGCATATTTATGCGGGGGCCGCATTTTTTAGAATAGGCCGCACTTTTGCCGCATAAAATGCCGATTTCCATGCAAAATATGCGGGGTTTGCATGATTTCATAATCCTCGCATTTTCGTTGCAAAAAAAAGTCACATATATCTTCGCAGAAAGTTGAAAAATGTTGCGTTTGCTTCATACAAGAACAGCCATTTCCTCCTGTTTCCATGGGAACGTTATGAAGTGACGCAATTACGCGACACGGAGGCGATTGACATCTCACAAATCGAACTCGTATAACTGTCTGTCACACGTTCTACCATCACATCGTTACTTAATAAACAAAATAAGATAAAAGAATAAGCATCAAACAGAAATTACCCGCACACATGGGGTGTTTGAGGCGCAGACACTGCAGACAGTTCAGCGCGCAGCTCTTAAAGGGGCCACACCTTATTTACACTCGTTACAGTCTGAAATAAAACATTGCTGATTTTGTAATTGTGAAAGAGAGTCTATTGTGCACTTATTGTTTGAATGTCCCTATTTTTCAATCTTTTGCAATGAGATGTCTCAATTTCTAGGTTTTAAAATGAATTGCAACCTTGTCTTAAATTTGTCATCTTCATACAAATGATTTTGACTTTCCTATAAGAAAAATGTATATGTTATCGATTTTTTCTATTATTAGGAAAATTTCATATTCATCAAACTAAGTGGAGTAACTCAAAACCCAACTTTGCTCATTTCAAAACAGCCTTTAAAATGTATTTTGAGTCTTTAAAATTAAAAAAAAAAAATCGAAAAGCCCAAAAGATCTGTATCTGTATGTCTGTGATGCCCTCTATCTTTTTTTTTTTTTTCCAAATTATTGTTTCATGTTTTAGGCTACTTTTCAGATGTTATACTTATCAGAAAATGTGTAAAAGAAATGTCAAGAACTTGATATCAAACTCTGTGATTTTGAAAATTTTATAAAAATAAAACAAGATGAGAAATTAAATATTCCCAGCACTTTCTATGATGTAGTATGCTTGCTACATCATAGAAAGTAATAAGAAATGACTCTTTACATTAAGGTAGTAGCCTAGTGAGAACAGGGTGTTGGGGGAATCACTTTTTTTCTCTTTTTCATCAAACCGCAGTTTTTGCAAGTTCCCGCAATTTTTGCAAGTTCCCGCAATTTCATCGCATAAAATTGCATAAATATCCCGCATATTCCATCGCATTTTTAAAGAAAACGGGCCGCGTAATCAAGGATTTTTGCCCGCAACAATCACAAAAAAACTCCGCGTTTTTCTGGAAGGACTGTTATATACCATATTAAAGTTGGTTTCAAGCCCTTTCCATAACAAAAGTTATGGTTATCTGAGGTTGGCTGGTCGCTATGATTTTCAGGAATGGAATTGAGAAAAACAGGTTTAATGGGTGGTTTGCAGTCACATGATTGTGTTAACGCGTGGAATGCAGATGGAGGGCAAGGAGTGAAGAGCACAATGGACGAGATGGAGGAAAATCCGTACTGTACTACTTTAGACGCAATTACAAGAGAAATATATAAACAGAAAATCGAAACATATGTTGGACGTAATCCTTACGTTATGAAGGACCGATTTTCAACTGAATTGAGAGATTTGCCTGCCATCGAGGCTGTAGATATCAGCAACTAACTCGTTTTACAGACATACTTTGACTTTACAAAGTTCGGAAACTGGTACGTTACACAAACAGCCACATAAGTGTATTTAAACACCTGAATAATGTATTAATAAGCCACATAAATAATGTATTAAAGCCACAATATGTATTTTTTCTGCATTAAAAATAGCACAAATAATTGTATCTATGTTATATATTTCTGTTAGATGTGTACTTACATTATCCCGACAGTTTCCACCAAATTTCAAATACGGAGACATTTATAGTTTAATTCGGAGACACGGGACGTTTCTTTATTTCCGTTTCGTCGCCCGTCTATGGCGTCATATAACCTTTGACTCCTCTATTTTCTCTAACTTCCTTGCGGAACCTGGCGAAACCGCCAAACACAAAGGGGAACACTGGACTACCGCCAATAAAGCAAAGAAAATGACGAAGAAAAAAAAGTAGTACGTATTTTTATGTGTGTAAATCACGTGCCCGCTCACGAGCGCTCACTCTTAACAGACGCACTGTCCCCGGTGCTGCTCCTCGCGCATAAAGCGCTCCCCGTTCACAGTAACCGTTTCATCTCATTCAAAACAGCCAACTGTTGCTGTTAGCGAGCCGCGCACATTGAATACTCATATGTGTCAGGCTGCGAATGTACGTGCCCGCTTCAGCTCTCTCATGCTTACTAAAAACGCCTCACCTCCGGCGCCGCGCACTTACTACATTCCCTTTAGCCTTTAGCACATAGTGGATGAATAACGCAAACCCAGTCAAACGTTTGACTGCAGTATCTTATGTGCTTTATAATCCGGTGCGCTCTATATATGAAAAATGTTCTAAAATAGGTCATTCATTGAAGTAGTAATATTAATATTTATATTCGTCTGTATTATAGTTATGGACCACGATTACGCTTTGCCTGCACGTTCTGCTGCTACAGCCAGCTCATTAGCTAAAGCTCAAACGTACCTGAAAAATATGACCCGAGAAGGGTTTGGGACAGGAGAAGCATGACACAGGTAAACATTGGGGTTGCATTTAAAGCTTCTTGACAAGCTAAATCTACAGAGAGATGCCGTATATCCGTATATTTTGTGAAACGATGATGTCATGAGCTGAGCTGGTGGTCATTGACAGCGACAACAACTCCCGTGAGCCCACGCTCTTTCCCGACGTCATCAAAGTACGTCTTTTGTTATTATTTTAAACGAGTGACCCCTGGTGGCCAAAAATCACATACTGTACGTTTAACTCACATTTGACAAAGTGATCACTGCACACACACATAGGCATTTTCCCATTCGGCTCCTCCCGACCGCAGACGTAGGTTTGCAAGGCATTTTTCCCGGTGTTTTTCTGTCAATTTCTTGTATTTTCCACCCTTATGAACAACAACCGTTGGCACACGATAAAAACTCCTCATGGTTTGATCGATTTGAGCAACCATAAACGACGCAAAACATAGGCATTTTGAGTGTTATAGTGCTTCCTAAATATAGAAAATCACTTCCTGCCTTCCATCTGCATATCGCGCCATGGCAACGCAGTGGCGTGACGTCACGTAAAAACAAGCTATTAACGGTCCTGCTAGGCTAGCGGGACGATTGACGCTTTTTTATTGCTCTTTTTTTCATATCACATATTTTAGTAATCAACATAGATTAGGTATGATTCGAAAGCTTACAAACTCAAAATTCATCTAGTGAAAACAAAACCAATTTTTGAAATTGGACGATTGAGAGAACAAGATCTTTTAAGCGAACCGCTTCTTCAGACTACGTTGTTCTCTTGTGCTCATATCATACCACTATCTTGCACCTTGGAACCTATTTCATGGTTTGCGATCTCAAGCCACCAGGCACTGTTTTGCGCAAATGAGCGGCCGGATCGCATTTAAGATTCTCAAAGTGATCCTGGGTGTTGACGTTCGAATATTTTCAAACA